TTCTCTCTCTCTCTCTCTTCTAACTTCTCGTCTCCAATACTCCTTTTCCTTCTCCTCAGTTTTCCCCCTCTACAGTATATCTTTTTTCTCCCGTTATTTTCATCTCTTTTTATTTCCTCTTTAATCGTTGAAAAAAAGAGATTCAATTGTATTTCCATACGATCCGGCGCCACTTAAATTCCGGTTTTGCGCTCTGGTATATGTTCGCGCCCTTCTCAGGTTATTCCGGTTGTTGTGTAATCTCTGGGGCGGAGACACATATATCGTTATATAAGGCTTGGGTCCTGTCGGGTCTTTTCTCTTCTTTTTTTCTTCTTCTTTCTTCTTCTCTATTTTTCTTGAAGATTTTTGTTTCTGTCTTTTTTATATATTATTATTATATATAATAATAATAATTATTATATTATTATTATTATTATTATTATTTATTATATTATATTTATTATTATATATTATTATTATTATTATTATAATATTATTATTATTATGCGGTTCGGTCTTGTTCTCTTCCGTGCTCTCCTCTCTCTCTCTCTCTCTCTCTCTCTCTCCTCTCTCTCCTCTCTCTCTCTCTCTCTCTCTCTCTCTCTCTCTCTCTCTCTCTCTCTCTCTTCTCCCTCCTCTCCTCTCTCCCTCTCTCCCGCCCTCGCCCTCTCTCTCTCCCTCTCTCCCTCTCTCCCCTCTCCCCTCTCTCCTCTCCCCCTCTCCCCCCCTCTCCCTCTCTCCCTCTCTCCCTCCTCTCTTCCTCTCTTCCTCTCTTCCTCTTCCGCTCAACGTGTCCCAGTCTCCCTCTCTCCTGTCTTCCGTTCTTTCTCACTCCCCCAAGCACCGTCCTTTGCTCACCTCCTCTTCCTAGAAAAAAAAAAAAGAAAAAAAGAAGAAGGAAGAAATAATTGATGGAGTGTCGAGCCAATTTCATGCGCATTTGCTCCCTTCGGCCATGAAACTTTGCGCTTCGCTCGCCTCGCTTGTCTTCGGAGAACATGGCGGTTGGAAATTACGAGAAATGGCGCGAAAGTTTTGGTTATTGTTATTGTCGTCATTCCTGTTAGTTTTTTTTATTTTGGTTTTTGTTATTTATTTTGGGTGCGGTATATTATTATTGGGTTTATTTGTTTTTTGTATTTTTGTTTTTTTGGTCTATAATTTTTGTAGTTTTTTTGTATGGATGTTAATCTTATTATTGTTGTTTTTTGTTATTTATTGTTATCATTATTGTTGTTTGTAGTTGTAAAGCCTTCATTCTCATTACCATTAGTACCAATACTCTGAAAAGTACCACAATCATTTTAATTTACAACAACCGTCACCACCATCATTATCACCCCCCCCCCCTCCTCAATCACAGGAATCACCACCTTTGCTCTCTATTTCGGGAACCTCTTTACGGTGTGTTTTAATTATTAAATCGACGGTCCCACTTAAACAAATGAAATGATAATGTTGCTATTCCCAAGTCGAGAGGGAAATTCGGAGGAAATGTTGGTTTTCAATATTTGTTGTTTGTTTGTTTGTTTTCTTTGTGTGGTGTTTGTTGTTTGTTTGTTTTGTTAATGTGGTGGTTGTTTGTTTGTTTGTTTACTTTTTTGTTGGTGAAGAGAG